TGATGGACTTGGTCATTCAAGAAAAAAAGAAAGAAAATATCATATTAGTGCATAAATGCACTTCTTGCTTCTCTGCTTCACTAATAGTCTTCAATAAATAAAACTTCCCAAAACTACCTCTTCAGCCAGCTTCTACCAGCCTTCTGTTTCCTAGAGGGAAGGAACATTAAGAATCCCCAGGTGATGAGAGCAATTGTACTGGTGGATTGTATTTACTTGGAAAATAATTACCACTTGGTATATGACATCAGATATATTACCTAGAATGTATAAAGGTGCTTCAAATTTATGTTGGAAATGTGAACAACAAGAAGGATCATTTTATTATGCTTGGTGAATGTGTAAAAAAGCTAGAAAATTTTGGGCTCAAATACATTCAGTGATTCAGAGGATTTTAAATATTAATATTCAATTGAAACCAGAACTTTTCCTCCTGGGACTGATAGATAAACAGAAAAGAGCCATGGAACATTGTTTTTATATATGAGAATTGCAGTGAGATTATTGTATGTACAAAGATGGAAAGATTTGGCAATACCTGCAAAGGAGGAATGGTTGGTAAAGATGATAGAACTTGCTGAAGTGTCTAAATTGATTTGCTTGATCAGAGGAAAGAGTGTCTACATTTATCAGTGACTGGAAATCCCATGTGGACTTTTTGCATAAAAAAGAAAAAATGAGTTTGAGATTTATGGTTTTGATGATTACAGGATAGACTATAGAAAGAAGAGAGACTTGATGGAACCTTAGAGAGAGAGGTTAAAATATAATTATACTTATAACTGCTGTGAAGAAGATCGGAAGCCACTTCTTTATATCTTTTTTTATATCTTCTTTTTTCTACTTTTCTTTCTTTTTCTTGTTTAATTTCCTCTTTTCTTTTTTGCACTTCTAGCTTTTTCTTTAATTTCTCCCTTTCTCTTCTTTCTCACTCTACTTCAGTTAGTATTAGTTCTTACTACAGTTGTTAAAACTTTCAATAAAAAATTATATATATATACATCAGAAAAATAATTAACACTAGTCTGGACTTGATTGTGGGCAAATGAGAAGATACTTGACAGTGAGTTCAAAGAGGAAGAGGTTTTTTTAAAAAAAATCCATCTGATAAATAGAGGCCATGCTGCATCCTATATCGCGGCAGTATTTATGTTCCAGTGTGTATTAGAGGAGTTGGAGTGTCCAATATTTTGACCCTTATTAAAGGATACCAAAGTTGGTCATTCTGATTTAGACAAGTATCTTTTCTTCTTTCTTCTATTGCTCTTCTCTGTCTGCCTGTCTTCTTAGATCTCTTTGTGGCTATTATTTTGTTTAATAGAAGGTACCAATTTGTGATCGTATTTTAATGTTCTGCCTCGCTTTTTCCTTTTAAAAGGCTACAACTAGTATAGATTAAAACTTGCATCTGGAGGAAATAGATAAGAGATTGGTATTATGATGAAAAAGATAGAAGTGAAATGGAACAAAGAATATTTACAAATAATCCGGGTCCTATCATCCTTGATCTTGTTCCTTTTCCTGGTCAGACTTTTAGAGTATTTGCTAGTAAAATTTTAGCCCAGTTCTGATTTAGAATGCAATCTTGTACACAATTACATGGTGGTAGGCTATTTAAACTCAAAGATGGCATTCTTCTGAATAGATATGCCCAGAGATACCTCATTTTAATTATTCTTTTTGTTTCCTATGCAGGATCCCGTTCAGCCAAAGAATCATGGTAAGTAGTTTTGTACTGAACTGAAATGTTCTGGTTTTTCTAATCAGCCCTTTAGATTTAAGTTTTTGGCAAAACTTTCTTGCCATTTATCTCAGCATTGCAAGGTGTCCTGTATGCTCAGTCATAGGTCCATCAATGTTTGTGCCAAGAAAAGAGAAATACAGTTCCTTTTACCAGTACGCTGGTAGAATGTTCACCAATCTTTTGTTCTAAAGAGTTATTTGAATAATGTAGTGTTGCAACCAGAATGCTTTCAGTTCTGCTTTCTATATACAGTCCTGGACAGACTAGAAATATAACCAGAGGTCCCTTTCAATGTTTATTTTCTCATAGTGGCTGTGAAGGTAATAGGCTGGGATAGGGCATTGAAAGAAAATAGGAACCTGAGTTTGGAAATAACAATAAGCTGTAGTTAATATAAAATTTGCACACATTGGCTACAAACTGTTGTTTTATTTTGGAAGTTGCAGGTTCCGCCATTCAAATGAACTGCATTTTGCCTGAATCAGCCATGGGAAAATGTTATGCAGAAAATCAGCTAGTGCCTGACGTAAAGCTGCTTGTACAGCTCCTCAGGCAAGCAGTAAAAATAAATGGTAACATATTAATTTTCCTTTTCTTCTTTTGATACCCTTACACTGAAGAATTTGGGAGCCTGGAAGAGCATGTTGGAAGTTTTCATTCTTTAGCTGTAAATCAAGGTTTGTGTAGAAGTTTTCTATGAGTGAAGTTTTTTATTCTGCTTAACTGTAGTTTTAAGGTAAATAGCTGCTCTGGTTGGATTTGAATTAAGCTAGAAGTTCTTCAAACTTCACCATAGTAGAATACAGAAACATATCCAGTGTTCTTCCCATCCTGGGCATAGAAGAAATGAGGGGGGAACTATACAGGGCCTTAAGATTCTTGTTAGAGGATCTGGGAAAGGAAAGAAGTGAAAAAGGTTCCCTGTTTTTAATCTTTCAAAGAGCCTTTTGTTAGAGTGAGATGTGAGGTTTGTACACTTGCCTGGTGCCCTCATCAAAGCATTGTGAACTGCCAAAAGTCACGAGAAGTGGGAGAATTCTTATATCTGTTAAACAAACAAACAAATGTTTGTGCAGTTCTGCTCAAAGGATCTTTTAAACAATCAATTATACATTAATATTACATTTTTCACACTGGAGTCACTCTGACATCAAGCAAAGTTATCAATTAGTTATTGGCTTTCTCCACGCTGTCAGTGCTTAGTATTGGAGCTGCCATCCCTATTTTATGGGCAAGCTGTCTGCCAGTCAGGAAAGAAAGAGAATATTGGCCCCCCAAATATATTTCATTGAAAGAAACCAAGGGAAATCAGTTATCAGTCTTTTTGTGGGAATACTTTCATTATTATCTAGAGTATTCCACTCTCCAAAGATTAAATGGAGATAAGATAAATCTTTTTCAAGTCTGTGTAAGTGTTTCTTTGTAATTTTTTTAGCTGTCAAGGCAGAACCTGTATCTGATCCCTCAGGACGGAGCTTACAACAAACTGTCGGGAACGATGAATCAAATGCTGCAACAGAGGTTTGTATCTTCTAAATTATTTCTTGAGTATCCCAATCAATCAGTATACATAGTGGCATAATGTTTATCCCAAACCTAGTTGTTTAGTATATTTTATGTTGACCAGTCCTTAACTTTTAAATGTCCATTTCAGCATGGTGGACAACATGAAGTCCTTCAGATATTATTGAACTTCAGTTCTCATCAGACCCAGAAAGCAAGTCTAATAGCCAGGGTTCATGAGAATTGTAGTCCAACAACATCAGACCATCTGTTGCTCTCCCCACCTTGCCGCAGCTTTGTTCATTTGCTTTATATGTGAGGACCTGACACCAGTGTGGCTATAGCTATATCTCCAACTCAGGCCTCTTTTCTAAAAGCAATCAGAGTAAGCTAGATTCACTAGAGAAGGGATGACTCTGAGGTGGTTGGTCCTTCAAAAAAAAAATTATCCAATTTGCAGATTGTAATAGTGATGTTGATTTTAAAGACGATGTATTTTGCATGCTAGATGTTGGTGGCAAATATTGGAGTGCAAAGCCTGTAATTAAAAGCGGGGAATTGAAAGTCACCAATGTTACGATATGATATTGGACCAGATAGACCTTTGGTCTGACTTAGCAGGACCGCTGTCAAATCCTAGTTCATTTTCCAGAAATTGAGGAAGGAAGTTGGTGTAGACCAGGCTGTCTCAATCAAAGAACATCTTGTTAGGGTTCCAGATACTGTTGCAAAACAGCTGAAGCTCATTGATATTTAAATGGGTCTATAGCTGTCAACCCTATAAGACAGGACAGACCAAGAAAGCAATGCCATATAGGTAATAATAAACTATATTTTATATAATAATATAAATATTTACAAGAATAAACTACTTTTATTGGAACAGCTTTAGTAACAGAATCTTGCAAGTCTGAATGTGCTTCTCCCCTCCCACCTTTTATCTTTGTGTGAATTAGGGAGAGGCCTGTCTGAGATATTTCCTCAAATTAGTTTCTTGGACTGGACTGAAGCCACGCTTGTCTGATCGTTGCCTTAGTAGAGCCTCTTCCTCTTGTCCTTCAAGCCATTCCCTGTGCTCTCTACAATAGTTTTCAGTGGAATGCCAATATTATGAAGACCTTACAAACCAAAATCTGATACTCTTTTCCTGTCCTTCGTTCTACAGAGGTCATCTCAGTATAAAATGGATGGGCGGTGCAAAGGATATTGCCTCATTATTAATAATGTCAATTTTGAGGGTGGTCTCAGAAGAAGGAGTGGATCTGAGAAAGATGCCAGTAAGTGGCTTAAAGCAATGCTTATACTGGGGTGTCCCCTTTCTTTTTTTAATTGCTTGCACATCTTTCTGTAAAATGCTTTAACTTTACAGAGCAGCAAATGATTACTAATCTGTACTTTTTATGTGGTTTCAGGCTGTAAAAACGTTTTAATTTTTGTTGTTGTTGCCTGTGTCTAGATTTTTAAGATTTGTATTTAATTTTATTTTTAAACTACCACTTTATCCCACAGAAAGTGGCAGGCTAGGGTTTTATCATTTAGAGATGATTAGCTTGATGAAGATAAACAAATAGAATTGAGGTATCTACAGCTGAAAATAAGTTGCAGTTTTCATGGATTGGAGCAATCACGTTGCAACTTCCACATTAACCTTGTGGAAAGGAAGAGAGTGGCAATTCTTTTTCCAACAACTTTTTCATAACTTACTACAAGTAGTCCTCACTCACTGACCGCAATTGGGACTGGCAACTCCATCGCTAAGCGATGTGGTCGTTAAGTGAAAAGTCATGTGACTGCCCGACTTACAATATCAGTGCCAGCTGCAGTCGTTAAGCGAATCACACAGGTCATTAAACACAACATCATGTGACCACAACTTGCAACTTCTTGCTGGCTTTCCCATTGACTTTGCTCATTGGAAGCTGGCTGTGAAGTGCACAAATGGCAATCACGTGACTGCGGGACACTGACTGTCATAAATGCACGCTGGTTGCCAAACATCCAAATCATAAATCATGTGACTGCAGGGATGCTGCTACAGCCACAACTTTGAGGACCAGTCATAAATCTTGTTCAGCACTGTCATAACTTCGAACAGTCGCTAAATGAGTGGTAGGTAAGCAAGGACTATCTGTACACTATTGCTTCTGCTCCTAAATGTTGAGCATGAAAAATTTAATAAAATAAATAAATAAATAAGCAAGATGTCTGCAAAAGCGATTAATGAAGGGTTAGGATAATAACCATTAGGTGACATTTAGTTTATTATATTTTTTTCATATTTGCTGTCCATCTTTAAGCCCTTTCTGTTCAGTGAAGAAAGGTCAGAGATGCAAGAGACCAGGCTTGTGTTTGCAGTTCCACAGCTCCTCCGCATATTCCCCCAGAATATTGAAATAGAGCTATAGGCTCCCTGTGGTCAAGTTCCTCTACAGATCATTAATCATTTTGTGCATTCATATCATGTTTAGAAGAGGTAAGTAGGCAAGGGCAGTCTAACAGTGATAAGCCTAATTCTACTAGATTACCAAAAAATATAGTTTTGTTAATAACTGTCAAATCTGTTTTATCCTAGAAATACAGGAATAGAAACTGTTGGCATACAGTCAGGTCCAGAAATATTGGGACATCGACACAATTCTAACATCTTTGGCTC